CGCATTTGACACCAGATTTTGTAACTACCACACCCACAAATATTTTTTGTGTTCCTGTGATAGATAATACCATGCCAGAGGTAAGCATTGTTTTCACTTATATCACACAACATTATGTGTTAAAGAACTGAAAGAATGTTAGTATGGTGAATCTGAGAAATAAGAGGGTAGATGAGAGAGAGGAGGACGCCAAGGAACACAGGTAACAGAACTTGGAGAATTGTGAGGTCCTGGCTCAAACCTGGGCTTTATATCTAAGTGACATGAGTGGCTATTAAAGATCTGAGCAAGACCATCACGTGATCAGATATACATATAAGCGACCGTCTTGATTGGGAATGGGATGGGAGGCAGTGGGGCAAGACTGAGAGTGGAAATAAAGAAACCAGTTGTGAAGTTACCAAATATTCTAGGAGGATGATATGATGGTGGTATAAACCAAGGAGTAGCATAATAATAAAGAAAAATCAATAGATTTAAGATTTATTTTGAAGTTCATAGCCACTCAATAAACCCTTATTTAAATTCACTGTTTCGAAGTAAAGAGTATAATTTTAAAGTCTTAATTACTTTTGTGGAGTTAATTTTACTGAAGCCTAAATGTTTTCCCCAGTACTAAATGGTATTTAAAATTTCTATGTTGGCAAAATGTACTTGATAAATTATTCACTTGATCTCACCACTTACAAAGGGAATATTGCTTAGACGTTTTACTAATAAATACCATTGAATTTTCCTTATGATATAGAAAAGATACCCTGTGTTGATTTATAAGTAATTGTAATGAGTTTCAAATTATAACCAAACATAAAAGTCTATTCACCATTTGCCTGTCAGTTTGCTGTACCATGTTGGTTTACATGTTCTTTCATTGCCAGAAGCTAGGTCAATGGTATGTCCAAGACCAGCAGGGTCGCCCAAATGAACAGATTTCATCAGGGCTTCCAGGCTAAGAACAGACTGTGAAGAAGGAACAGGCTGTCCACTTTGGAGGCTTACAGATATAAGTGGAACTTGGCCTGATACTGAAAACCTCACAAAAAGCGACAGAACATTGTCAGAGAGAGTTCCAGAAGGTGAGTGCTTCATGTCAGGGTCAATCAAATTATAGCTAAAGATGAGGTGCCGTCTCAAGATAGTCAGCCGTAATGACATGGATCACTGGATCGTCCTTTGCTGATGAAACACAGCTCAAAATGTGAAAAAACAGCTGCAAACACCAATTAATAATTGAATTTTGGAATGTACAAAATATGGGTCTAGGAAAACCGGAAATTGTCAAAAATGAAATGGACCACATGAAGATTAATATCCTAGGCATTAGTGAACTGCAATAGACAGGCGTTGGGCATTTTGAATCAGATAAAGGCATGGTTTACTGTACCAGGAAAGAAAGATTTAAGAGCAATAGCATCATATTCATAGTCAAAAGGATATTTCATGATATATCTTGATATATAATTCTGTGTGTCATAGGGTAATATCTATCTACATACAAGGAAGCCAGTCAATTCAAATTTACGCACCAACCACTAAACTTAGTGATGAATAAATTGAATTTTACTACCATCTTGTCGGAAATGGATCAAACATGCCTACAAGATGAATTGATAATTACTGTTGATTGGAATGAAAAAGTTTGAGATGAAGAAGAAAGAACAGTAGTTGGAAAATAGGGCCTTAGTGATAGAAGCAAAGCTGGAGATCACATGATAGAATTTTAGAAGACCAACAACTTTTGTGAAAATAAGTTTGTTCAACAACACAAAAAGGCACTGCACAGAGGGAATTCTACAAAAGGGATATACAGAAATAAAATTGGCTACATCTTTGAAAGTGCTCCTGGAAAAGCTCAATATCAGCCGATGAAAAGAGGCCAGGGGCAAACCGTGGAACAGACCACCAACTGGTCAAATGTAAGATTAGGTTGAAGCTGAAGACATTTAAATCAAGTCCAAGAGAGCCTTGGACATTACCTTGAATATATCCCACCTGAATTTCGAGGACATCTCAAGAACAAATGTGATCCATTGAACACTAATGCCTGGAAATCGGATGCGCTTCGGAGGACATCAAGAACGCCATACATGAAGAGAACAAAGGTCGTTATAAAGACAGGGAAAAAAGAGTAAAATCAAAGTGGATGTAAGAAGAGGCTCTGTAACTCGCTCTTATTCTTAGAGTAGCTAAGGAAAATGGAAAAATGGATGAAATAAAAAGATAACTGAACTGAAAATTCCAAAGGGCTGCCTAATAAGACAAATGTATTCTAATGAAATGTGTGAAGATTTTTAAATGTGCAAAGAGTTAGAAAACCAAAAAGGAAGGACAGATTCAGCGTATCTTAAATGGGAAAAATTCTAAGGAAAAAATAAAGCCTCTAATTGTAATACTGAAAAATTCTTTGGACAAAATATTGATTGATACACAACCTACTGCCGTTGAGTTGATTCCGACTCATAGTGACTAGGGTAGGAAGCACCCAATGAAGATGTAAAGAATACTTGAAGTCACTGTCCCCTAAAGACCTAGTTAATAGTTAATAGTTTCAAAAAGTAACAGGTGAACAAGAACCAACAGTACTGAAGGAAGAAGTCTATGCTTCACTGAAGGACTTAGCCAAATCAAGGCTTCAAGCATTGGTGGAACACTAATTGATATGTTTTAACAAGCTGATGGAGCACTGGAAACACTCATTAGTCCATGACAAGAAATGTGTAGGACAGCTCCCTGTCAAACTAATGGGAAGAGATCCACATTTGTACCAATTCCAAATGAAGGTGATCCAACAGAATGTGCAAATTATAGAATAATATCATGAACATCACATACAAGTAAAATATAGACTAATATCATGAATATCACATACAAGTAAAATTATTTCATGATATAAAATAATGTCATGAATATCACATACCAAAAACCCAACAATGGCTGCTGCAATACATTGAAAGGGAGCTGCCAGAGGTTCAGACAGATTCACAGGAGGATGTGGAACCAGGGAGAACTTTGCTGATGTCAGATGGATCTTAGTTCAAAGCAGAGAATATCATAATTATGTTTACTTGCGTCTTATTGACTATACCAAGGTATTTCCCTGTGTGGATCATAACAAACTATGGCTAACCTCGAGAAAAATGGGAATTCCAGAACACTTCAATGTGTTCATGTAGAACATGGATATAGATCAAGAGGCAGACTGCGTGGTTTTAAATCAGGAAAGGGGTGTGTTTGGATTGAATTCTCCCGTCATACTTATTCAATCTGTACGCTGACCAGGTAATCCAAGAACCTGGCTGTATGAAGAAGAATACGGCATCAGGCCTGGAGGCAGACTCATCAATAGCCTTCCATCATCTTCTGTGTAATGCAGAAGATAAATACCTTGCTGAAAGTAAGGACTTGAAACACTTGCTGATGAAGACCAATGAATGAACCTTCACTATGGATTGCAGCTCAGTGTAAAGAAAACCCAAATCCGCACGACCACACCAATAGCTGACATCAGGATACAGGAAAAAATATTAGAGTTTCAAGGATTCAATCTTACTTGGATCCCCATCAATCTTCATGGAAGCAGCAGTCAAGAGAGAAAATGACGAATTGCATAGGGCAAATCTATTGCACAATACCTCTTTAAAGTGTTGGAAAGCAAGAAGCTCACTTCGAGGACTAAGAGGTGCCTGACTCAAGCCATGGTGTTCTCCACTGACTCAGAAACATGTGAGAGTGGGACCCTGAACGAGGAAGACTGAAGAGGAACACTTGCCTTTGCATTAGAACGCTGGAAAACATTACCGAGCGTGCCATGCACTGACAAAAGAACAAGCACATTTGTCTCGGAAGAAATATAGGCACAACACTCTTAAGAAACAAGTGTGCTGCCATGTTATCTTGTGTATTTTGGACATGCTATCAGGAGAGACCATTCTTTGGAAAAGGACATTCTTGGTAAAGTGGAGGCTCAGCAAAAAGAGGAAAGCCCACAGCAAGATGGATTGACACACTGGCTGCAGACAAACATCACAATTGGGAGACACACCAGGGCAGGGCAGTGTTTGTTCTCTTGTTCTGCCGGTCACAGTAAGTGCTGAACAAACTCAAAAGTACCTAACAACAACAACAACAACAACAACAACAACAACATAAATGTCCACATTGATTCCTTTACATCCTTAAGAGTCATGGTGTACAAAGTACTAAGATCAAATCGCTCCAAGACATATTCTATTGAACGCCCCTTACCTGTGCTGTAACTGAATTATACAATTAATTATATGGTACAAAATGATAAAGGACATTTACATAAGGTTTACATGAACATCCTATTATTAATCAAATATATATATTATCTAGTTTATTTTTTGAACAATAAACTATTTCTTTGAAGAGTCTGATCATTTTGTTCTTTTCTACATTGTGGAGGCTTGAGGGCCACTTCATAGTCCTCCTTCAATTGGTAAAACAGATGGAAAAAGACTAACACCAGATCGATGGTTTGGTTTATGCACCCCGGGGAGATGTAGAACCTAAATACCAAAACCCCTAACAACTTGGTGTAGCACCGATTTGAAAGGTTTCTTTCATACATTTGGGAAAATGCCTACTTTTTAGTAAGTTTTAATACTCTGCACAGGTCATCAGGATAACTCAGTTAATTCTGGTTCTGAATTTCTTCAGTAAGTGATTGTTTCCTATCCAATTCTCAAATAACTTAGCAATACTTGACTGACATTTAGTGCACATATATTGTACACAGGGCATGAAGGAGCAGAGAAGTGTTATGCTTATTATGCAAAATATCTTCCGATGTCACTATGTCAAAGATTATCCTTCCTGGCTGTTTTCCTTGATGACATGCATACTGGATTTTGGTGAATTCAAATGGAGCAATGAATGAAGACACAAAGGAGCAAATAAGTGAAGGGTGTTAAATTCACTCTTGTACTCTCCACTGTGCTTTTGTGACTTACATTGTTTTTCATGTATTTTTATTTCAGCTGAAAGAGACATCAGTGTCTACTGTGGGGTGCAAGCCATTACAATGAAGATTAATTTTTGCACTGTACTTTTCTCGGGTTACTCGGAAACCGATCTGGCACTGAATGGCAGGCACGGGGATGCCCACTGCAGGGGATTCATAAACAACAACACTTTTCCTGCAGTGGTCATTTTCGTCATCAATCTCAGCACCCTGGAGGGCTGCGGAAACAACTTAGTGGTAAGCTGAATGTGAAGTGGTGTATGGTGGCTGGGGTCATAACGTAAACATTTTTTTTTTAATTATTTCATTTCATGAACTAATCAGAAGCCCAATTTATCTTTCAAGAAAAGAAAAGCCACTAAAAATGAGCAAATCGCTTTCTTTGCTGCTTTCAATTTCCAATCCCAAACACACAATCCTATCTTCCAATAATGGCTTTGTTTATAGTAGGTAGGGGATTGAGGGACACCTGATATTTGGTAGGTGATTGGCTGAGCTACTGCAGACAGCATTATTTTGTGTGGATGACTTTGTGTATGACTATTTCCCTGCAGTTTATCATTAACCATTTTCCTGATGCTTTCTATAGAAGTGTCTGTCCATACAAAAAGGATTGTTGCAGTAAGCTGGGTAGTGAACCACTTGGCTTATTGCTTCTAAGGGACCTCATTCCGAGAGAAAGCTGAAGGGTGGGAACTTGGAATCCTGTAGGCTTCACTATACCAACGAACAAGGAATATCAGTAAACAAGAACGGGCGGCATTTCTGATTGTAGTAATATTCTTCATTGTGGGACTTGTTTTGCATTTCAAAATGTTTATTAAACCCCAGTAGTATACTCTCTCTAGTCGTTATTCAAAACAACAACAATAACAACAAAACACTGTTCCAAACATTCCCACCCTGGATGAGGACCGCTGGGTGATGTAATGCTTTTACTTATTCATGCATCGAACACTCACAAATAGAGCTGTGTTATTGTTAGGTGCCATCCAAGCTAATTCTACGTACAGTGACCCGACTTACAGGCCTGCCTGGTCCGATCTTACAGCATCTTCACAGCTGTTGTTGTTTGAGCCCATCGTGGCAGACGGCGTGTCATCCCACTCCATTGAGGAGCTTCCTCTTTTCCTGACTCTCTGCTTGACCGAGCATGAGCCCCATCGCCAGAGATGGGTCTCTTCTGAAATCACATCCAAAGCGGAGGAGACAAATCTGTCACCTCACTTCTAGGGAACATTCTGGCTAGACATTTTATAAGACAGATTTGTCCAGGCTTTTGAACTCTGTCATATATTCAAAATTCCTTGTCAACACCATCATTCAAATGCATCATTTCTTCTTCAGTCTCCGTAAGTCATTGTCTAACTTCCCTGAGCAGATGAAGTGACTAATTCAACCATGACTTGGATCAGGCACACCTTAGTGTGGGATAGCTTTGCTTTTTAGGGTGGGTGTTTGTTAGATTTTCGGAACACAATTAGCCATTTGATTTGTTGCTTGTTGCTTCCATGTGTATTGACTGTGGAACCCAGTAAATTAAATCCTTAATAACCTTTCTCCCTTTATCATGATGCTACTTCTTCGTCCTGTTGGGAGGAAAATATTTTTCTCCTTTATGTTGAGTTATGCCCAGCCTCTCAGCATGAAGAGAGAGTAAGGAGGGTGCATGGTGTAACCCTGATACACACCTTTCCTGATTTTAAACAATACAGTGTCCTCTTGTTCTGCTTAAACAAACTTTGTTTAAGTACAGGTTTTGCATGCACACAGGGTTCTAAAATCCCAGTTTTTTGCAATCTTACCATAGTTTGTTACGATTGACACAGTCAAGTGCCACTGCACAGTCAATAAAATACAGTTAAATGCCTTCCTCGTATCCTCTGCTTGCAACTAGGATCTATCTGATATCAACAAGGGTTTGTCTCATTCCATGTCAGCATCTAAATTTGGCTTGCATTTACCTTGCCTATTGATCTATTGTTGCAACCACTTTTGAAATATTTTTAGCAACTTTTTACTTGGGTGAGATAGCAACGATATTGTTGATAATTATATTGTAGATCACAATATTTTTTCCTGCAATGGACATAAACAGGAATCTGTACCAGTCTATAGGCCAGGTAGAATTTGTCTTCAAATATCTTGGCATAAATGTGTGAGTTCTTCCAGTATTTTCTGATTTTGTTAAAATGTCTCAGTTCGTGGCTTCTTGTTTTTTAATCAGTGCCTTGAGTGTAACTTGAATATCTTCTTTCCACACCACTGGTTCTTGATCATACGCTCCCCGATGAAATGATTAACATCTTACACATTCTTTTTGGTACATAATGTATTCCTTTCTGAGTTGTTCAATAATTTTCCCATAGAATTCTTCAATACTGAAACAGGTATTGAGTTTAAAAACATTCAGCGTGTTGTTTTTGCGTGTTCTATTTCCATGTCTTTACATATTTCAATATCTTACAAGCGAAAATATTGCTACAAAGACAAAATTTGTTATTAAAAAACAAAAATATCAAAATGTGAATGTATTTTTCTGGAGATATCCTATATCTGAATCTAGACACTTTTAAAGGTGGTGCTTCTAATTGTTCCCCTTCTCTGAATAATTCTGTGCTTCTTTACTTTTACCGAAAACGGCAGTTTCATTATCCTCGAGGCCTCCGGGTATGTTCTTTTACCATGGGCGTTTGGGAAAAAAGTTTCAAGGGGCAAAATACACGGTTTCAGGTGGATAGTGAAAGGTTTTTCAAGAAATGCCTATGGGACAGCACTTGTTTCCTTTCTTGACACAACTTTTCTGTCCTTTTTTCTCACCAATGTAGGTTTTAATTTTCTTAAATTTGGGGGGAGGGAGTAACTTCTTTGAAAGCACATCAACAATGATTCCCCCCCCAGAATAAGTTCTTGTAATTGTCTTTTGTCATTTAGTGAAATCTATCAAGCTCATCTCTTAGTAATTCCAAAAACCATTCACCAGTACTTTCTGAGCTGACATCTCTTCCTCAGCGTATCTGCCTCAAAGCAACTGTTTTGATAGGATCATTTTTCTTTTTTGAAGACACCCCACTGAAACTAAGCCAAGTGGATTTCTGTGAGAATGTTTCTGTGGTCATCCACTGATAGCAGAAACACGTTTCAATATGTGTTGTTTGGAAATAATCCTGAATATATGAACTGGAACCCTATTAGTAATACTTTTCTACTTATCCTTATATAACAATATGGTCTCTGAGTAATTAAATAATAGTATAAAGATGGGATTTTGGTGTGTGTGGGTGGGGGGACAGATTAGGTCTGTCGTGTAGCACATCTGTGTAAGCACTGCCCTGCTAAAAGCTAAGGTCAGTGGTTTAAACTCAATAGCTGTTCCGCGATAGAAACAGGAGGCTCTCTGCACCTGCAGAAGTTTGCAGGCATAGAAACCGTGTCCTGGCTCTCTCTGAGTCAAGAGCCGCTCAGTGGCAGCTGTTTGGTTTTGGTTTTGTTACATTAAGGACTCATTGGGTGGCGATTACGATTAAACACGTTGCTATTAACGGAGTGGTGGACCAAATACACGTAGCACTGTCTTGGTTGTTAGGCTGGCGATCTCCTGAAAGCGTCCGGAGCACAAGTCCTTGTAGCCCTTGCTTGAGTCAGAGGAGTTGGGATTGATGGCAGCCAGGACGAATTGTTACCTTGAAATTAAATTAGTCATGTTTTTCATTGACTTGTTTGAACATAATCTAATTGTTAAGTCCTAGTAAACACAAAAGGGGACTTGACAACTTAGTTTAGCAAGGAATAAGAAATTGGCTTTTACTCTCATCAGCTATTGTTTGTGATTTAACGGGAAGTTTTGGTTATTCGAAAAGAGAAGGTTTCTAAGACGTGGTGGGAGCAGGAACCAATGAAATGAGTTTTCTTAGATTCCACTTCTTTGTTTCTTCCCGGAGGGCAGTTAGAATATTGGATCCAGGACCGCTTCCAAGCCTGCAGGCTTTGGCACTGCTGATCCCTTTTATTAAAAACGTTTATTCATCCCTGAGTTTTGTACAGAAAGGTTATGAAGTGGGCCTCGGAGAAACGATGCCAGTTGATTATTAAACGTCTGTGTCTCCTTGTTGGAGGGAGAGAGCCCGGGTAGCGATCAGCAGCATCTCCGCTCCTCCTCCCACCTTCCTGGTATACTTTTCCAGAGTTCAGTCACTTTGCCCTGCTGTCTAGAAAATGAGTCAGAAGACAAGACAGGGTTGGGGTGGGGGGACTAAAGGCATTTTCCTTGTTCACCTTTTGGCAGACCAAAGAAAAAGAATATGTTTATTGCCAAGATGCTTTGACCTTTTGGATAACCACTGAGCACTTAACCATTGTGCTATCAGGGCCCCTTTCAAACAAGGAGGGTTGTATTAGCAAGGGTTTTCATAAGCCATGCTGTGAAATTTGTGTGTTATTTACGGGTGTTGTAGCACTTGCGACCTCTGTCTCCTGTCTTATTTATGAACCACGAATAAAGTATTTTGAAAAATATAAAGCTTCATTTAGTTAAGAAATAATCACTTATAAATAGTATTATGTGTGCATAAGTTCAAAATCATTGCATATTATAGTTGAAGCAGGCTCTAGAAATTATGTAGTCTACTGTTTTTAATTTTGTATCTCAAGCACATGCATTTTTACACAGTGTCATTGAAGTTGATCCACCATTCCAACAGGTATCCACAGTTCCTGGAGCCAGTGCTTATGGAAATGCATCTTCGATACAAATAGGAAATATTTCAGGATATATCGATACCCCAGATCCACCAACAATCATCAGCTACCTACCTGGGCTTCTTTACAAATTTAGTTGTAGTTATCCTTTGGAATACCTGGTTAATAATACCCAGCTTGCTTCGTAAGTGTACATTTTATTCTTGATTTCACATATTGTCTCATATTATGTTTCTATCTTTGTTTATCCTTAAGTGATATATTAAGATAGCTAGATATGTTGAGAATGATTGCACTCATGGAATGTAATAAGAACTATATTTGGTCTAAAATATATATGTATATAATAGTATTACCCTTATAAATAGCTCAGGATATATATGTATAAAATTAAATTAAAACTGGCCCAGACTCTAACTGCTGGATTAGTTAAAAGTCAGGTGTCTGCCCTGTGTTTTTCTTGTTTCCATCAGAATTGCCTGAAAACCCCAATGCTATAACTCAAAAGTGCCTGCCCCTTCTCCTGCTGGCTTGGTGGTTCTGGTTGAGTTTCCACTTTGCAGCGTGCTCGTCAGCACTCACCATTGACCTTAATTTCTCTGGAAGCCAAGTCTCCAGGCCTCCTGCTGAGGCATCGCCCTTGGCTATTCAGACCCTGCGTGGGTGCTGATAACTTCCCAGGAAAGAGGCAAGACACAGACTCCAGACATAGAACCTGAGGTTATCGTTTTTAGTTTATATAGTCTTGTACTTATTAAGTATTTGGGCATCTCATTGTGTGTCATTACAACATAATCATCTAGACTTGGCATATATCTTTGACAAAATAAAGGAAAGTGAAAATATTCTCTCTCTAATTTTCATGTTTGATGTAATAAAGGCCTAGTTATCCGTTAATGATAGTCACGAGGGAACCCAAGAAGATGTGGCAGTTACATTTTGCTTCAGTTCAGAAATACTCACGGCTGGTTTTAATTGCCCTATGATGAAAAACACTGGTCATAATTTCTTTTGCAAGAGTTCATACCAAACTAGTTCCAAGGAATTGGAGACTAAAGACATCTCAAAAGTCCAACTCTTCCGTGATGCTAGTCTGCGTCCTGTCTCTCCCCCACAACTCACCCCTTCAGTATGTTCTCTCATGTGTCTAGGTTCTGCAAAACACTACAGTGTCCCACAGAAACTCTCAAAAGTTTGAGGAACACTAGAGACACAGTGTGGGAATTGCACGCGATCTGATCCTGCCACACTGAGGCAAAGC